AGGTCCTTCCTTTTAAAAATCTAAGTAACATAAACTTCGTTTTAAAAACTGTTTTCAATCCCTTTCCTAGTTAGAACAAACGGTTTTGAAAATTTTTATTTTCAAAATTGTTACACGAATACACGACGATGCCGTAAACTATCTAGCTTAGTTTAGAAGCTCGCTCGGAAATGCTTCCACCACAGAATTCTCTAAAAGTAAAAATTTAAAAAAAAATAATCAACAGGTATGCCGCCAACACCTAAGTTCGAAAAAAAAGTAACATTTTCCTAATTTTTTTTTTCCATCAAGGTAAATGTCACCATTTATTTAAATAGTATAGCGCAGTTTGAGTCGTCAAAATAAGGTCCTTCCTTTTCAAAATCTAAGTAACATAAACGTCGTTTTAAAAACTGTTTTCAACCCCTTGCCTAGGTAGAACGACCATTTTTGAAATTTTTTTTGGTGAAAGAAATCGCCTCAGGCGTGTGTTACAGGACATCGGGTACTCATACATGTGGAATAAAGAATCAAAGTATTTGAAAATGTGCTCTTGGAGTATAATATTGCAGACTTTTAATGGCTGAGCATGCTAAAAATCGAAAAAAATTAAATTAAATTAATTATCGGAGGAAAAACGAGGGGGAGTGCTTTGTGAATCACTCTGTATACATAAAATATAAATCTTTATGTGTTTACGGTGTGCGTAGTACGTTATTAATGTACAACTCAACGCTTCAGTTTCTATAATATAGACACGCTCGGCGGCGTTTAATTCGGTGCTAATGTTCACGGCCGAACAAAATAAATGCAAAATAATAATATGTGTGTTGGTCGTTCCACAGATTAATCGTTGCAGTAATTATTGGTCACTGCAATAATAATAATATTGTACACTAATAAATAATGTTTTGTACACTTTTCACGCTGCAGCCGATTTGTCATGCACCAAGTGGTTCGGCGGCGAAAAATAAAATTGACCAACACTATAAATGGTTTATTGTACGTAGTGTGTGTTATAATAATATTATAAAATATACATACGAAGTGTATAATAATATATTATTGACCTGTGAGTTACAAAATATCGTCTCGATCGTTTATTAGCGAAATAATAACAACAGCCGTTTTATATAACAATACATTTTTTTATCCTTTTGTGCCTCACTCATAATAACACGCTGAATACCATACCTATGTTGCTGGTTGTTTTCCGATTGTCTATTGCTTTTCGTGAGGCCAATAACAACAGGCACCCATTGTGTATGGTACGTTATGGTATATAGCAGTGGCGTCCGCAGGATTTTTCAATGGGGGAGGCTTGAAAATTAGTTACAATTTTCTTTTCATTTTGTCCAGTCTAATAATTTCAGACGTTTATTTGAGGTATTTTAAAATGTTTGTAACTTTTCAACTTTTCTAGTAGAAAAAATGCTCTGATCATAAGCTTCGATGATGCCCGGTGTATGTTTTTGGAAGCAAATTGGATCTAGTTGGTACTATTAGGAGGTTGAAATTAAAAATGCTCAGTGCTTTTAAAAATAATTTGAGAAAAAAAAAATGAAAATTTATTTAAATGTTTGGTTATACCGTCTTCACTTGGATTGTTTTAGAATAATTAAATTTTTTTTTTCTATAAATGTCAATAAAAAATTATTTATTCGGTCAAAAAGATGAAAAATGTAATACGTACGTTTTTTTATTATAGCTAAAATATTAACGATACATAGGTATCATGCTTATTTTTTATAAGCATTTAACGTTCAAATTGTCAAAACCACAGTTAATTTGCAGTTCAAAACTTATAAAATATTAAATGTGTATAGCTAAGGATAGACAATTTAATACAAGGTCTTTCATACAAATAGTTCATACTTTTACCGAAAAATTACAGATAATTTATGAAAATTGGTATGTTACAAATACAATTTTTTTTCAAAAATGAATTCATTCTGGTAAGACATATTTGAAATTTACGTCTTGCTTACTATAGTTGACAGTTTAACTTGATTAATATTTTTTTGAAAAAGTAATAATAATACGGGTAATGGGGGGGGGGGGGCTTTACATTTATATTATTATGCTCATATTCGTAAGAGTTTTTTTTAATTTCAATTTTTATAATAATAATAACCGTTTTAATATTATCATTCGTGATTGGACGGGTTTTCAATTTAATTTTTAGATACTAGCTTGGTCGTATGCATACCTAATTGAAAAGTTTTTCTAATAAATTAAATATAAAAACCGTGTTATTGATTTATCTTTACTTTTACATTTTTCGTTTCAAATCAGTTGGTCAAACACTTCAACTTATAGTCAATATCTTAAATTGCTAACATTACAGTGATTAGTTAAACCATAGTAATGAAAAATTACCAATTATTTAAATGCATTATAGATCGTATACGTTTAGAGTTAAATTATGTGTAATAACTTTTCTTCAGACATCACAGCATGTGTAATTATACGATAATAATATGGTTGGGTGCCAAGCCGTTTTACTCATTAATCATTATTATTTATTTTCCACGTTAACGTGGCCATTAATTATACAGTATTTTATGTTATACTTATTTAATTTACATTGTTATGACAGGTAATACACACTTTTAACATAGGTATACATCTTATATTGAGTTGTAATGATGTATAGGCCATAATAGGAAAAATTAGGCGAGTACCTACCTGTAAAACATTATTCTTTATTGTTTCGATTACAGCTATAATAATATTAACACTAAAATATGTTCATAATAATAAAGTTAGGCACTGAAATTTATTACGTAATTAAGTCGTCAAAGCACAATACATGATAACATTAAGGGCAGGCTGCTTATGTATCCATCGTAGCTATTTAAAATTGGGTGACCATTTTTATGACAGAAAACGGGACAAACAGTTTTAGATAGATACCAACTCTTAAAAAAAATTTATAATTTTTTAATACATTTTATATTTTACAATTTAAATAATGTCGACTGAGCTTAGTATTTTAATAAAACACTTCTTGTTTGGATTAGGTTTAGTTGTGAGCTTAGAAAAATTGCTCAAAGTATTCTTATATTCTCTATGGATTGATGTTGATTACTCGTCATTATTTCTGTATTACAATCTTTTTATTCGTATTTTTCTGATGAACCGATGGCTTTTAATAGTTTTGGTGGAGTTCAAGAAAAACCATACAAATCATTACAGGAATGTTTTTTAAAATTATTTTTGAGAATTATAATTGCTCTGATAGTATAGGTACGAGAAAGCGATTTTTTTCGTCCTTCCATAACACGTTTGTGATTGAAAATATTCTCTCTATTGCTGCATTAGTTCCTGGCATTGCTAGGGAATATTCTACAATCTTCCAAAAGTTGTTGATGAATATATTTTTATTTTTTTTAATTGTGTAGATACCACACCATCTTTCTTATAACCGTAGTTCTATATTATATTGTTTTGTATTTATTTGTTAAGTTAATTTTTTTTTTTACACATATTGAATATAATAATATGGAGACAACGGGATTAAAACGGGATCATCTTCTAAAAACGGGACAAAAAGCGTCCCTTTCGATGTTTTTCGGGACACGATGATCAGAAAGGGGACAATCACGTTTTAAACGGGACTCACCCTACTTTGAAACAAAGGATCTTTTGAATCGTTTCCATAATCATTGTCGTTTTGTTCGTAGCAACATATAATATTGTTTGTACATGGTACGCGTGAATACAAAAAACTAACTGTACAACTACCATGGGATAGACACGTACCAAAACCCAGTCGTAATAATATGCCACTTACGACACCGTAAATATTCCACTCGAACAGAAATGCACTGTATGGGACTATCGTATTTACAGACGGAATGGATATGTGAGTATGGAAGCCTGTAGTTTTGTTGGTGATCTGTGGATGAAATACCCGAAATTATTGTTATCATTCGGATCTCGTAGGTACTTATACCATTATAGTTATACCATGGGAGTATTATTGGGAACTCGAATGCGTTTACGTCGGAACCAATTGGCAAATGAGAAAGTCACGATGTCGAAATAGATAATAATAATAATATATTATAATTTAACAAGATGTAGACATTTTCACAAAAATATTACACTTAATATACATATTGTATAATATTTATATGGTACTATGCAATGTGTACACAAAGTAATTCATAAATAATAAATAATAATAGTAATAATATATAGGTACATAAACAAGTCGCACACTCAACACGTGTGCCGAACATTATCAATAATTACAATAATTCAACTAATATATATAAATATATAATCGTAATAAAACAAATTTCCGTTACAGTTAAATTTGCAATATATTAATTATGGTATACATTTTATGTATTATAAAATATATAAACTATAAAAGTTCAATATAAGAGGTTTTAATATTATCTAATTAATTTCATACAGAAATACCAAAGTATTTAGAATATTTTATACTCATATTATAACTACGATTTGAAGAGAATGATTTTCGTATAGAATTAGGTAAGAATAAGAGTGTGCTGAGTACTGATTTTCATAACGTGTTATAAGTTTTACACATTTACACTCGAGAGTAATGTAAAAATATTATATTATTCAATTTTGCAGAAATTTAGTTTCAAAGGGTTATTTTAGTGTTTTTACTTAAGGGATGGACTTATTTATATTACAGCTAATTGTTTTTATCAATTTTTGACACCTTAACTGTTTAAGGACATCCAGAGTTATGCAGGCTCCAATACTAAAGTGCCTGTACAAGTCAAAGCGGGTATTATAATATTTTAGTCATCAAAAATAATTATTGTTTAATTTTTATTTGGATGGAATTATGCGTATAATACAGTAAGTATTATTTTAGGTGAAATTTTTAGTTTTTCTTATTTTGTTGGTCTCGACCAGTATAACCAGCGGACCTTTATGGTTTTGGATGGATGGTCAGTATCAGCTACCTAACAAGATCGAAAGAAGATCCACCGAAAATGTGTGTCCACGCACGACTACTGCGCAGTAAATTGCACCTACTTGTACGTCCACCGAGCGGCCGGCAGCTCGTAAAGCGCCTCGAACGGCGACACGTAACGCAAATACTGCGGCTGGTGATGGTCCTCGCCGCCGTACTGCTGGTGATGGTCATCGCCGCTGTACTGCTGGTGATGGTGATCTAGCTGTTGCTGTCGGTAGCTCTGCTGCAGCGCGTCCGACAACACGTACCGGTGACCGCCGGCGCTGAGTACTGTTTCCGCGGGTTTGGCGCCCATGTACGCAGATATCTCGGCCAACGTCAGCCGGTCGTCCGAACCGTCGGCGTCCACGTCCGCGTCCTTAGTCACCTTAGCGGACGATGACTGCGATGGCTGCACGGCCGCCGTGGCAGACCTCACCGCGTCGGCCGTTCGCTGTTGTTGATGATCGTGGTGCAGGGCTTTCTCCCTGTCGGCGGGCGCCGGCGGTTGCCGCTTGTACTTGGCGCTGTACACCTGCTGCATGTTCTGATGGTTCTGTTGCTGCTGCTGCTGCTGTTGCTGATGCTGTTTTCCGAACCCGTCGCCGTACAGTTCCTGGTGCCGGTTGGCAAAGTGCTCGTCCATTGCCTCGTGCACCAACTGCCTGAGCTTGTCCATCGGGTCGGCCACCGCGTCCACTTCGTTGGCGGCGGTCGACCGCGTCGGCACAGCGGTGGGCCTAATGACGCGCATCGGCACGTGCACGATTGCCGCCGGACGCGTTTCGTCGGCGTACCCGGCGGTGGGGGCGGCGGCGGCGGCGACGATGACGGGCCGCTTGCGTGACCGACCACCTGCGACGGCCTGCAGCGGCGGCCCGTAACCGTAAGCGGCCGAGTCGTGGTCGAATTCGCGCATGTCGCCGTAGTCGAACGACGACACGGGCATTGGAGCCGACTCGAAACCGTCGTCGTAGTCCGCGCCGCCCGCCGTGTCGATGTAGTTGACGTGCTGAGGGCGCAACATCGGAGCCGGTGACGGTAACCGCCTGTACCGCGAACCGGTCACCGAAGGCATCGTCGGTGGCCCGCCGGACATGGCCGGCCTGCGTCGTGGCCTCTGCCCCCGCCTACCACCGCCGGGTTTCTGCCTGAACTTGGGCCTCTTCATCGGCTGGCCCGGACTCTTGTTGTACGCCCTCCGCTGCGGATACGGTTGGTACGCGAACGCCGCTGACTGTTGGTAATACTGTCTGCCCGACCTGTGGCCGTCGACGGTCACCGTACCGGCCGTGGTCGACTCGGCGGCCCTCGTCTCGGGGTGCGAGTGGCCGCCACCGACACCCGCGGCCGGTCCGTCGATCGGATCTACTCGGTTCTCTTCGTCGCTGCTCGCCAATGGCTGCAAGTCCCTGTATGGTGGGTGCCAATAATAATTGTTGTAAAACGCATTGGTACATATTGTATGTAATTCGATCGAAAAGTCGGTCTACGTATCATACGACCTACTTCCGCAGGTCATGTTAATCTAGGCCGTATCCAGAAAAAATGTTCGGCAAGGGGGGTCGGGTCCAAAACATGTATATTGTAATTTTATTGAATTTAGGTTTTGATATTTGGTTAAAAATAAGACATATTGAAGGAATTTCGGGGGGGTCCAGGCCCCTTGGACCCCCTCAGATACGGCCATGATGTTAATACCAATTCGGGTGCCTGTTGCAATAACTCATATTTTGTAGTTATATTTTCGCGTTCAAATATTAGTTACGAATGTTAGTGGAATAGTACGGACAACACGCATGTCGTGAGTCTACGAAATCGATATAAGAGACAAGGTTAAATAAATGCATTGTAAATTGTTTAACATCCCGATCGCAGACCGAATTCTCGATTAAATCACATATTTTTATTTTTATAACAATACAGGCCGAGGCCCAAAAACATTAAGTGATATATATATCATCATAAAGATTTATGATACTATGTAAGCATTTTTTTAAAAATGTTTAGTTAGAATAATAGTAGGAAATAATACTAATAAAAGACACAGTTGATAAATAGTTTATGGATAGTTAAAAGCGGGTTATTCATTAGCAGGTCAACACTATATAATTAATATAAATTGTTATTTTTCCAGTATTTATTTTATGTTTGGGAATATTAAATGGGTACTCAGATGCCTGGATGATCCAGTAGCAGAAAACCTGACAGAAGAGACTTTAATATTTACAGCTTATAAAGTATATATTGCACCCCTTCCCCTCCTAGTCATTCACTGAGAATTCACATATTTTGTACTTGAAACTAAAAAATGAAAGTTCTTGAATTCACAATCATGAGTTTCTCGTTTAATACGTTTTTGTACACACGATAATATATGGTATACACTTTATATAGATATTTTATTATAATGTGTCGCGTTTACGTATATTTGTTATACCATTCACAGTTCTCTGCAATAAATTGCAATAATGGTCACTATTCGTCTACTCACGACCGAGCATAACTTACTGTCCGAGACATACTTTCTTCTGATAAATCATAATACTATTGAAATTATTGTACATTGTCTACAACTGTCAACTCCATTCAAACATTATATTAAGCTTGTTTTACTGAATCTTCAAAACGGTTACCTCTAAAACATCGTAATGTGCAGTGGTAGTGCGAATTTCATATATTCCGCAGTTATTTGCCGGTTTTATTATTGAATCACGTTTTGAATTCCTAGTGTACTGAGGTTGCAGCTGCGAGTTTGCGACAACGATATAATATTTTACATATAACTAGATAAGTATATACAATGCCGGATATTCGTCTTTCGCAGAATAAATAACAACACATAGGTTCATTCGTATCAAGTTGTCGATAAATTGTATGAAACGGTTGCTTGCAGGTAGTAGATACCAGCTACTATTATAATATGATTATAATCGATTGATGTATTAAAGCGGCAAACACGTTTGGAAAAAAAAAAAAAGCCATTAGAGAAGAGAAAAAACGAAAATTTCAAAATGTAACGCGTTTAACCCGAAGACGTGGCTGGAAATTACTGGAATACTTGAATATTATACCTATGATAATAAGGAGGACGACGTGCATCTTCCTTTTTGTATATTATGTTCCTATATTATCCTCGCAGTGATCGCCTCGGGTACACATCGGTCGCCAGTTACCCCAGCATATCCGTTAAGCAACAGGTTTTTCTATACCACGGTCCCGGACAGACAATTCGTATCGGTATTATTCGTGAGGTCTTCTCCGTAATGTTATTTCACGATTTGTATTAATTATTATTATTATTATACCGCCTAAAGGGCCAATAATATAACAACGTCATTACGATTAACCCTAATAGCTGTTATACCTATACCTACGGTATGGGTTTTAAATAGTCGATATACCTACTGTGATGGACACATTATTTTGGTACCTAATAATTATTATTATACCGAACATCAAAAGGTACATACATATCGTCGTGTTAGGCGGTTAGGGGATGAGTATAGTATATACTCAGTATGAGTTTAGTGTAACTATCATAGGAGTAATCTGGCGGGAGGAGGTAGTTAGACCCCCCTAGCATTTTACGATGGGGATAAATATATCGCTTAAAGCTCTAATTGATTGTGTAATTACACTATATGTATATTGCAACACTTTTTAAAAAAGAAATCATTATGCTTGAATATTATATTTCTGTGCACGTTTTATACCATTTCTATGGTCATTATAATATGGATAATACCATTTCGATGTAATACTATACTGGTTTTATAATCCTAAAACTCTTCAATGACAATAGGTAAACAATATTTATGATATTTTTTACCCCCTCCGCTGCAATAGTTTAATCCACTGCTAAGTTCTAACTATGATAATATTATTTTGTCTGTCAGGTTATACATAAATTAGTGTCAATCGATTAATATTTTAGAACCAACAACAGATAATTGTATGTTTTTATTGAATTTGAACAAACTTACGTGCAATGAGCAACAACCAGGAATGAAAGAAATATCAGCACCTGAAATCCATAAATAAATATTAATATTACCATATAGGCCCGAAAACTTAAAATTTTTATATATGCTCATGTATACTTATTATACATAATAATTAATATTACGATTACCTATGTCATTTGGTTGTGTCGTGCTAGGCATAGGTAATACAAATTTATGGAACCAATCACACTATTCGAATATAGTATAGGATACAGCTATGAGGTAGTTATAGTTACAGTAATTATTATGGTGACCAATAATATTACATTATACCGCTGTTACAGTATTACATATTAAGATTTTTAAGTGTTTGGAGGGTACCATCGTGCTTAATGTGTTTTATATGTTTACATATTGTATTATGTCATTTATCATATTTAATTATTGTGCAAATTGTACAGAATGTAAATTTTCTTATAAAAATTTAAAAAAAAAAAGTGTTAAAAGATCAAAACATAGCCAAAGTTTAAACTTTAAGATTAAGTAAATTCACGTAAATAGTCACTGAGTGAATCAGGATTTTTATAACACTAAATTGAATAAATAGATACACTTGTTTGCACTAAAATATAAAAAAAAGTACCTATTGGTTCGTAAGACATAATCTGTACAGCGTCTAAAAATCAATTTTGGCAATTTCCATACGGCCAAAACCATTATAAACAATTAATCACACTTAATATTGTAAAATGTATTTCCAACATCATAAAATTGTATACATGTTAAACTTAATCAATTAGTTCAAACAAATTATAGGTCTTCACAAAGATATCTAGATTTTATTTATAAATATGGCAAAAAATTTAGCAAAGCTTATAAAAATATATTTTTTCAGCATTTCTTTATACTGCACATATTATGCGAAGTATTAAAAAATATGTTGATAAAAAATGTTCATGTTTTAATATAGATTAGGTATTCAATGTATTTAAGAATTTACGACAATAAACATAAAGTTACAAATGTATGATTGATCATTTATAAATTATTTTAAATGTCATATTTTGTTAATTATTTTGTATAATATACATCTATATTTTTCACAAAACCTTTTCATTAATTCCCAATTAGCGTATTGTTTTTGTAAAAACAATAATAACCTTAGAGGAATTTAAACTAATTTATAACTACATAAAGTAAGTTATACATTTACAGAGTGATCCATTTAAGTGTTTTCGCTCTTCACTGACCTTAACTCATATTGTTTGAAAGTTTTAACTTTTTTGTAAATTTAATTTGAACATAATTTATTTGATGTCATTGCAAAATAACATTCATTTTATAATTTTTACCGTTAAAGTTTTATATTATGTTTTTACCATTTTAAATGATAACATACTTTTTTAATTTCAGACTCCGAAGCAAAATACTATTCCGAATATTTGAATAGATAAACATTAAAACATTGAACGAGTAATTAGTTATAAGTTGTATATCTTAAATGTATTTAAAGTTGAGAGAACTTTAGAGAACGAACACTTTGCGGGTTACCCCTGAGTTATATATAAATTATTTTAGATTACAATAATTGTTTAAAATAAACTATTAATATGTAAAAATACGATTGAATAATATTAATGCAAATATAAATGTAGAATTTTTGGAACTTGAAGAACAAGAAGTAATCAAACCTTTACATTTAAATTTAGTAAGTACTTATAAAAAAGATTTTCAATTTTGAATTCCTGGAGATATAAATTTTGTAAAAAACTGTCTCACTTTTTCGTAGAAAACATATTATGTTCTGAAATTTACATCATTTAAAAATTCAAAATCTGCTATAAAGTTGTATTAAATGTAGTATAAAATGATTATTAAAATCGCAATAATCGTACAATTTATAATATTTTTTTCATATGAAACATTACATTTTTGTAAATGAAACAAGAAAATGTGTATTTCAATATCGTATCGTAAACAAAAAAAAATTCGTGTGTTAATTGACTGTATAAATAGGTACCTAATATGAATATAAAAATCTTAGATGTTATAAAAACCCGAAAAATGAAATTCTAGAAGGTGTTCCTATTTATATGATAGTTGGAAATAAAGTCTCAAAAAAAAAATAAATATGCATAAATATTATATATATATAAAACAATAGTTTAAATATCTGTTATACCTAGGTATAATAATATGTTTAATGTACTCACCATATTTTTATCCTTTTTCATGATCGAAATTTAAAAATAAATCCACAGCTGTTGATCGTCGATGCGATAACCGTCTCTGATATATCTTGAACTATTTCGGTATATTTTATACCAAATACAATATAATAATATAGTATAGCCCTAGACGAACCGTGTCCGGCGCATCTCGGAAATGTTAGTATGGCGCTTTAAAACTTTTTTCAATACTTAAACTCTATACTATTATTAATTTATTGCAGTTAGAGCTGCGTAAATAACATAACTGTGATCAAATATCGACGCAGTACTACCCGAAATCGAACGAGAATCGCATGGTGGAAATGTGCAGTCTGACCGTGTTTGTGCATTGGCATTGAATCTAAGACGCACGATGACCTCTAATTACGATCTTTTATAAGCTTCTAGGAGACCGGTTGCGAGGGAGTCGCTGGAGGGAGTGCGAACATTGCGGTGTGCGTATATTGTATATAGGCGTGCAAGTATGATATTACTGGTATATACCATATGTATATATGTAGGTAACAGCTATAGGTATATATACCTACCTAACTGTCTGGCTATAGTGGCTATACACGATGCCGGCGCACAGGCTTTCCACAAATCGCACGGATCGCGTACATTATATTATATATTGTATACCTATACGAATTCAATGGCCGCATCCGACGCCACAAATTTCTCCCATTTCACCATCCGATAGGAATGCGCATAAATAGGCGTAATATATTAGTATATAGTAATTATTATACATGATAAATGCCTAAACGTGTGTACGGACGGCTGGATGGAGACTTTGATTGCTCACCAATACTATACGTCTAAGCATTATTGTGTACCTACTACCTATACACCGTTTGTGACCATGGAATTTTCATTTTCGAATACATAGACGGTTGTCAAAATAGACACTACACCCTCTTCTCTCAAAGTAATCGTTAATCGTCGACCTTGGTGCAAATGCCGACAATTTTAATAACTATACATATCTCGGAATTCGGATATCTAATCTTGTGCGCCAGTTTGCGGATCATCTTTGATCTTTGCGGTCATTTGCTGACCTTTAAATAGTCTAAACAATATTGTTATAGGCTATAGGTGTGAAAAATCGTCCAACTATATTAGCTGTTATTTTGAGCTATCAATGGTTGGCATTAGAAACTTAAATTTGGTTATAAAATTATATAGTCTAAGAATACAATACTATAATTATAGGTATTACGGTTATTTACCATAACTTATATGGTAATGGTAATTGTTGCTGTTACTACCATATTTACTATCTATCATCACTATTGTTATTACAAATTACAATATCACATCTTTCCATATTATAGCACTTTATAGTCCATATGACCATAATATTTATATATAAAAAATAACCATTTCCAAATGTATATTCCGGTAAGTAATTTTGCTAATTATATAAATACATATGTAATTGCAATAATGTAAATGTATATAGAAATAGAATGAATGGTTAAGTTTTTGAAGGGAAATAAGGATCAATTATTATAGCACCTAAAATGAGAGACTTAAACGCTTTAATGAACCAAAATATTGTTGTAGGACAATTTAAAATACGTAGGTATTGAATTATTTTATTAAAGTCCATGTTTTTTTAAAAATAATTAGTAACTAATAAATACTCAACATAATATTAGGAATTTAAAATATCGAATTACTATTATTATATTAAACTCGAGCATTATCGTTATTATAATCATCATAAATGTTACATTATTAAAATATTATTCATATTGCCATTTTTATTTTACTAATTTACTTTTACTTTTTTTTTATATCATATTATTCATAGTTGAAATTATATTTATAAAACAATGTTTAATGAAATCACATGACAATAAATAATAATAATTTTAGTTGATTGATGAACCATTGCTATACTTTGGACAATTGGACAAAAGTAGTTCAGTTTCAAAAAAAAAAAAATATTAGGCTATCTGAAATTAATTTTGGAAAAATTACACTCATCAAATAAACAACAAAATATATTTTTATGATATATTTTACATGTATAATAAACTGATCAAGGAGTTTTGAAAAATGTATTTGTTTTTAATAAGTAATAAACTAATAAACATAATTTATGCTTAGTTATACGTTTGTCATTTTATATCTATATACAATCAGACGTCATGTTAGGTTTCAAATAATATATTACAGTAGATAATAAAAACTTCACAATAGGATATAATTTATAAATGTAAGAAATACAATATTCAATTATTTCGAATGTATTATTTTTTAACAAGTTTTACATCATATTTTAACTCTTATTTACTATTTTCGGAATATATAAAGTAATTTAGGTTGAATTAATTATTCGTAGACTGTTTGACATCATATATTCAGTTCAACGTTCATATTGATCTAGTTAATTATGTCGAGAAGACGAGAATTAATATCCTCTAAATCGGTGGAAATGCCTAAACAAATAGCCAATAGGTAAATACTAAACACGAAAAACTCTCCTTTTTATAATATATTCAATTATCGAGTAGTTATATCGCCGGAAGTGAACGCGTATAATTGTATGTCACGAATTTATTAAAAAGAAACACGCTTATATTCTTCATTTTTGAGTAAAACATTTTGTACTGGGTAGGCGGCTGTGTACACGTCAAACAAGACCAATTTATAGGGTGCTCAAATTCTGACGAATAATCATCACGTGTCAACATTTATCGTCACGATTTTATTGAAGCCATATTAATAGATTCTGCTCTCGAAATATTATGTCTATAACACGAATAATCTATTCCAGCTGGCCAGCTGTTTGCATAATTAATATGAGTATACAACTATATGAGCTTCAAAACATCGAATGCTTAAAAAATCCAAAAGTGCATGCATTTTAGAACCATTATTATATTAATAATAATAACGTAGGTACTGAAGTGAAACGCACTGTGGTTAATCGAAAATATTATTTGTCTATCTCGTTGTAAGAATCTGTATGTTTTTAATCCGAATCGTGTTTTAGAAATTAATGTTCATTAATAATAGTACTAGCCAATTTAAATTATCTTTTTGTTTAACTTTAATTAAATTATTTAAAAGCCCTTTAAATAATGACTAATGTACAATAATGTGACTATGTGAGTACCTATTTCCTAAATTATTTAAATTGAAATAATTTGAGAAGGCGTGGGAATAAGTTTGATTCCGGAACAAAATAAATTATTCTTACCTAGCCGCTCAACAATTACTTGCTAATACTGTACATTTACGTCATATAAGCATACCTATACTAACAAAAATAAATGTTTTTAATAAATAAATAGGTAATACATTTGACAGTTTGCTCGTCAAATTGTTTATTCTGAAATAACAATAATAATAATAGTAATCTTTATAACGAAAAAAAAACTTGATTTACTAATAACAACATTTATATAATAACAGTACCTGTAAAATATTAAAAATACAACAAATTAAAAATAAAGTTTTAAATATTATAATGTGCAACAGTTTCCATTTTTAAAGAAAACTTTACGGATATTGTGTATTATGATGACAATATAATATTATGTCTAAAGAGTAGAATATATTTTGTATATTTTATAGAAAGCTGGAAGTGCCAATACAAAATGTAGAAAATAAACGCATAATATTATTATAAATTGATGGTGTGGATAAACATTATACAAACAAACAATTATCATTAATCTTAATCCTCTACATATGATATTCAGCACTGACATTAAAATTATAGGTACCGCACCTATGTGTCTATGTAATATTTATAATTTTTCAAATGTATGAAATACTTTGAATATACCAAAGAAATAAATAGTGTAGCTACTAACTATATGAATTATGTAGGCATGCGAAAGTGACGAAATGACATGATATTTTATTCCACGAACATTGACCACATAATATCACCAGGATATTACCAGGATTATTTGATTGTATAATATCATAACTTCAATCGACCGGCTTCCAAACACGAGTATAGTTGTAAGACGAAGGATTTACTTATAATTCTCACTGTTTAGGTTGGCCTACGGGAGCACGAAACCAAAATAAAATGAAAAACTAATCCGACACCTGACTACCCGAGCGGATACCATCAGTGTCACGATATAACTTATTGTCATTTTGACCACGTAAAGTATAATATTTTCTACTTAAAAATGCCGACAAAACAAAAGTAATAATTCTTTGTTTATGTTTTCATTTCGTGTAAAATTTCAAAACGTAATGTATATTGGTCGTGAAAGCCGATGTATGATAACAAACGGTAAGAATTGGATTAAATCAAACGCATATGATCTGAATTTAAAAAACAAATGAGGTTTCTAAGAAATAATACTCGAATAAAAAGAGGTCTAAATTCTAAATGAGCTTTCATTATATTATAATATGTTGTACCTACTGCTGTAGTATGAATGTGCTACACTATGAGTGTGTTTCTTAAAGGTATTCGTACATTGTTTATTGTTTAATCAATATTTAAACTAAGTATTTAATTTGTTTTGCAAAATACAACAACATTTATTTATTTAAAAAATTCCAAAATCACATATTTTATTGTAACATGTCGAGTTAAAAAAATAATTATAATTTCACACTATAAATATTTATTATTTTATTATAAATTTTGAATCAAAACACTTAAACTGTTGAGCTGGCATCGGCTTAATTTCTCCGGTTCCTACAGATAATTTTAAGTCTGCATATCAGCGACCCGCTATGGACATGCCTCCAATTCTACCATTTATTGTGGAGTTATTTATTCTGAGATAAATCTTTTTTTAAAAAAAAAACCATATATTCTCATATCCATTTAAATAGATAATGCGATATCCATATTTTATCTCCATTTCTACGACTTGGCAAAAAAAACGTTATGACCATAATATTAAAGAAATCAAATGAAAAAACCTACATTCATTACATAGGTTAAGACTTTTCTATCGAGTGATTTTTTTCTTCTTAATTCATATCAAGTAGGCAAAGATCAAGATCATAAATTTACAAAAAAAAAGTTATAA